GTCCGTTGTGCTCAAAACTGTTCTGCGCATTATCATAGCTTGTTGTCGCATACAGCGTGCTCTCTTATGTGGACCTGCAGTGAAATGTATTCCGAAGCCCCCCCACCAGACGGTCTAATGCTAACATACGTGCTCAACAACCAAATGAGTACTTCCAAATGAAACTGATCTCAGAGATACAAGACAGTTTAAACGAGCAGTGGGGGAGTGATGGGGGACTCAAATGTTGGAAAAATTCTAGTTTCGGGTAATAGCTAATAAGCCTCGTAATCACTGCACGTCAAACGCTATTGTTTCAGGAACTGGAGGTTTGCCCCACCTCGACTCCAGGGGACCAGAAGCGGTCCCACCTTTGTGCCTCGGGAGGACTGCAAGCAATCAAGATGGTATCGGAGCCATTGTGCTCCAGGGTGAGATGTCCACTGCCCAGGACGCAGATAAAGAGCATCGCCCCGGGCACAGAGGAAAGAATGCTGCAGCTTTTATCTGATCAACTTCTCCCCTGAATTCCAGTCCCCTTACCTACACTTTTCTTCTCCTTATACGGACTTGAGATGGAATTAAGGCGCTGTGCAGAACCGTTTAGTTTCGTTTGACGCAGTTCCACTTGTTTATTTGTGCTTTTGGCTTTTGGTGTCATTTCCATGAAATCAGTGTCAAGACCAATGTCATAGGATTTTCTCCTATGTTTCTTCTAGAAGTTTGACACTTGCAAGTCCTATGTTTGAGCCTTTATCTTTAGTTGATTTTTGTGTACAGTGGAAGATCAGGGTGCCATTGATTTTTATTTTTTGTATGCGGATATTTCGTTCTCTGTGTCCCCCCTTCCTGACGTCCAGTCCGGTGGAGAGTCCTTACCTCACGGGGCCTCTAGGCGGCGTTTGACATAGTTGATCACCTTGTTCTCCTTGGGACTCGGGCTCTCCTTGGCGTCTGGGACACCGTGCTCGGCTGCTTTTCCTTTCATCTCACTCACCGACCAGCCAGCGCCTCCTGCTGGCTCCTCCTCTCTTAATCCTGTAGGGTCTAGAGGGTGGAGAGGCACAGGCTTTGGGCCCTGGACCACTTCTGCCTGTGCAGTCACTGCCTCCAGGGGCACATCCCGCCTCAGGTCTTTCAGGGCCCCCCTGCATCAGCGGCGCTGCCCTGGCCCCTGCTCAGGTTCCAGGCAGACACGCCCAGCTGCTTTCTCAACAGCTCCAGTTGGCGCGGTCTCATGGGCTCTCCCGCATGGCATAGCACGTCCAACCTGAAGTCCTCCTCGGCTTCCCTCTTCCCTCCTCCACCTCATGTAAGAGCCTCTCCCTCCTTCCGGTTGTTTGGGTGAAAACGCTTGCATCCTGCTGACCCCTCACTTCCCTCTCATGCAGTGAGGGAAACCCCAACACGCAGTCTCCGCAGTCACTCCCTGTCCCACTCGGAATGAGAGCTCCACCCCTTGGTGTGGTCCACGTGGCCCTGCATGATTGGGTCCTTCTGTACCTCGCCCGCCCCATCTCCTACCAACTTCTTCCCCCACCCCGACCCCCTCATGCTGCTCCAGTACTTCCCAGTCCCACCTGCATGTGTCTACATCACACCAAACACGTTCCCACCCCGGGGCCTTTGCACCTGCAGTCCCCGCTGCCTGGTGTGACCTTTCCCCATTCATGAGCAAGGCCTGCTCCCTCACTTCAGCTGGTCTGCTCCAATGTCACTTGGTCAGGAAGGCCTTCTCTGACCACCCTTGGCTCCAACCGCCCTCTGCTGCCTCTCTGTTGCCATCCCTCGCTTCATTTGCATCCCTCTGCTCTGCGTGGATCTCTCCAACTAGAATGGAAGCTCCGGGAGTTAAGGGATCTGGTTTCCTCACTGCTGTCCCCCGCCCGGCCCCGCCCCGCCCCCCCCCCCCCCCCCGCCGCCGCCTCCTCGTGGAGTGCACAGCTCGCAGACGCGGCGTCAGAGAGTGAATCAGTCGGGTCACGTTGCTCTCGCGGCTCGAGATCCTGCAGTGCTCCCTCATCTGTCCGTGCCTTTGCCCACGCTACTCCCTCTGCTTGGAGGGCTCTTCCTCCTCCTGGTCTGCCTGGAAAACTCTTACTCACCCTTCCAGACCTGACCCAACTGTCACCACCATGCCCCCAGGTAGAGTCGGCCCCTTGTCCCTGGGTGACCCCGCAGCATCCTGTGCGTGCCTCGGTTAATGCTTGATTCTCATGTGATTTTTCGGTTTCCTCTGTCAACTGTGATCTTCCTGAGGACAGATACCATCCTCTCATCCTGTTTCCCTAAGGCCTAGTCCAGTTCCTGCACAGCCTTAAGTAAATATTTGGCAAAGGGCTGCTGACTCAATGAGTAAATGAACTGAGACAAAAGGGAGTCTACTTACTAAACCTGACAAGCTCGTGGGAGGCCTGCATATTGGTCTTATAAACTCCAAGGCCAAAGTGACCACATAGGATGGTCTGAAATTAAAATTTTCTAATAACTAAAAGGAGTTTATGGCAAGTAGTCATATCCTAGGAATGTATTTTTCCTTAACTGTCATTTTTTTGCATCTAAGATAACATACCTTTGGGATATCAAAGTAATTTCCCGTCACCACAGTCGTCAAAGCACAACCACCACAAATCCTCTCATTTATGTTAATTGTTGACTGTACCTACAAATGTAATAGAAGTACACGTGTATGTAACTGCACAAAAAAATAGTAGCTGGCTGCCTGTCACCGCCAAAGCCAGACTCGTGAGGCAAATGCTGGTGTAAATGTAAAGAGGTTTTATTCAGATGCTGTGTCATCTGGAGAATGGTGGACTCCTTTCTCAAAGATCATCCCCTGCGCAAGATCAAGACAAAAGCCAGTATCCAGAGTTCCTGTACCAATTTAAAGTACAGATCTTTGGAGCCTGCAGGTAGCTCTCAAGCAGTCACAGTCCACATCCAGGTAGCATAGCTGGTATCTGGCTGCTGTTCATTTCAGGGTCCTTTCTGGAGCATGCAGCCAAGGGCCAGACAGCTGCTAGGGTCACAAGGTTGTGTGTGCCGGGGAGAGAGCATGTGAATGCACCAGCATATGCATCACCAGGTGGGCAAGAGAGCATGAGTGGCTCTCTGTGGGAAGCCATGGGCCAAGTGGCTGTTAAAAACATGTGGCCTATGGAGAAAATAGGCCTGTGCACTGTGCCGGTGCAGGTCATGAGCCAGTTCGCCCCAAACAAGGAGCCTCTTTGTTCCCCTGGCCTTATATTAGCTTGGGTGTGGGATGGATCAGACACTTTCTCACAATGACAAATCAACTTGCCAAACTTTTGCATGCTTCCAGGGGATCTACTTCTCAACCAATTCCTTCTTTCCCCAGGTTAGACTGACAGGCCTCTTTGGTCCAGCATCTCCCCCCCTCCACCATTTTGACTTCTATGCTGCATGTGCCTACCTTACACTGGTCCAACCCCTACAATCTGGTACCGGATGTTGGGGAAGGGCCTTTTCCGATCCAATTACTTTGCTAGCCTTCTATGCATTGTTTCAGAATCTCCCCCTGTTGCCATTTTGGCTGATGGGAAAACTCCCCCCCACTCTGGACAGACTGTCTATCTGTATAGACTGTCTTCAGTTCCTGTAGAGATTAATTGATCTTACTTGTCAAATGGTCAGATGATGTACCCTTTGAATTGAAAAAAACTTCTAAATTGGAAAATTTTTAGAGAGCTCTCTTCATAGCAGTTGGTTTACGAGTACCTAGAAGAAGACCAAATTTCAAAAGTGTATACAAAGAATTATAATGACTAGCCTTATAACAATAATCAGGTTGAGAAATCTTATTGAATCTGCTGTCTCAGCTTCCCTCATGGGTCTTATAGATGCTAATAAAAGCATTAGGTTAATTAATAGGAGAATGGGAAGAGGCCCAGGAGAGAGTCAAGAGGCTCTTGGAATTATTTTACAAAAGGGTATTAAGAAATAAGGTGAATAATGCAAATATTGATAGGAGCAAAAGAAACAGGAAACAGAAAGGGAAGGTTCACAGGACTCGTCCTGGCAGGGTGGAAATCTTTAGATGATTATTAAGACATGGGGTAAGTGGACATTGCTGTGGTTTAAACCTACAGTTGGGCAGGCCAAAGAGATCCCCTTTTAGTCCCTCAACCTTAAAGGGCCCCAATCATGTCATATCTATTTACTACAATTTGAAGAAATTAAAAAAGCCCAAAGGCAAAAACTGTAATGAGAAATCTTACCAGCAATGGTTTGGGACAGCCATTAAGCCGATTAATCAAGTTAAAAATTGACAAAACATCATTAGTGAATCCCTGATTCAGACTACAATTAGATAGAACACAAAAATGTATGGTTAAGAAGAATATGAAAGTTGGATTAAGCATGTATTATGTAAAGAAGTTACATCCACTTTACCTGAATGTTTGAATAGGAATGGATATTATGTCTGGTTGGGGAACATTTCCCCTTCCCAGTACTGTAAAACCAAAATTTGATTAAATCTTAATAGAAGCTATAGATAAAAAGAGTTCATTCACCTGGCACACAGCAGAGCTGTGCGGGGAAACTCACTTCAGATGCAATATGGGTCTAGCAGCAAAGGCCTCTGGGAAACGTTGGACTGTCTGTTTAACTCTGTAGTGTCAGGCTTGGATTACTGCCCAGAAAATTGGAATGTCACCCAAAGACAAATGTCATCCCCCAGGAGGCTAATGACTATATATAGTGTGATAACTGCCTGATCTTATCTGTTAAATTAGGAATGCATTATTCTTTCTGTAGTCTATGAGACCACCCACCCTGTTAACCCTCTAAAAAAGGGATCCTGTCCTGGGAGAGGTGTGGGTTTTTCTCTGGCTGGCCACCATTGGGAATAGTTGCCTTGCCTGTGTAAACTTCTCCTGTTAAAGCTCTTATGAATTTGAATAAGGCTACATGTCAGTTCTTCGGAATCAATCCTAAATTCAGACTTTTGTGGCTGTCCCCCAAGAAGAACCAAACACTGAACACCAAGAATTGTAGTGGAGGAATTAGGGTAGCTTTATTGCAGGGCACCATGCAAGGAGAACTGGAAGCTATCACTTAAAAACCTGGATCACCAATGGCTTACAATTGGGGTGTTTAAAGGCAGAAAAATAATGAGTAAGCATGATTAAGGGGTTCAGTGTTGTGGGCTTTGTTGATCGGTCAGTTCTTGTGTGAGCTTCAGCAATTTTCTTGATCTCCTTTTAGTTCTTGGTGGCATCCTGTCCAGGGTCTTCATGACTGTGGCAAGGTGGTCTTTTCTGCTCACAGATTTCTGCAAGACATCTTGGGATTATGAGTCAGTGACGTTATCTTAAGAGCAGGAACAAAAGCAGAGCTATACATCCCATGCTTAACAGATTACATTCTTCATCATATTAAGCAAAGTATACTTTTATATGTTGCTACTGAAACTTGCTTAATATTCAGGCCTCAAGACCCCAGCACATAACTACCTTCCAGTGCAACTAAGACTCTTAAAAGAGCTACTTTAGTAATTTCAACGAAAAGCTAAATTCTAGTATACCTATTCTGTTATGATTTTCTATCAGTTTCAACAGTTCAGTTACTTAGTTTTCATTAGAAATTGAGGTTTTTAGGGGTTAAAAAATCCAATATATGTAACTGAAACTACTAGGAATAATAGGTGAATCAACTAAGAATGCAAGGAAAGTAGGGTATGTTTTCAGTAATGGAAGATATAAGGTATAGAGGTACATTTTTGAGGGAAATTATAAGAAAATAAGTTGATTATTTCTGAATGAGTAAGAGAACAAGAGACAAATTAGATGGGGCAAATAGTTGTATGTTTGTGAAAAGATTATGGAGAAAGGAAATTTTATGTGTGGTCAAGTAAGACTGGAATGAATTAAATGAGTGAATTTAAATATCAAAGTTAAGCTGATGCAAAATTAGAGTTTGGTTTTCTCTCTGTTAAAAGAATAAACTTCTTATGGTTTATTTGTGTGCTCTTGCTAAGATACTGTGAAAAGTTTTCTGCCAAGAAAACAATCTATTTTTTTATCAGCACAATATTCTGTGTTTTATGTTTTTAATCATGTTCTTGATTACTTAAGAAAATTCAGTCAGCCCTGGCTGGTGTGGCTCAGTGGACTGAGTGCTGGTCTGCGCACCCAAGGGTCTCTGGTTGATTGCACATGCCTGGGTTGCAGACAAGGTCCCCAGTAGGGGGCATGTGAGAGGCAACCACGCATTGATGTTTCTCTCCCTCTCTTTCTTCCTCTCTCCCTCCAACCCCTGTCTAAAAATAAAACCTTAAAAAAAACCAACACTGAGTCATCTCAATAATAAGAACAGTTTTGCTAACAATTATGAAACCTTTTCTGTTTTAAAAACCTTTCATAATGACCTATGATCCTATTTAGTCAAGTATTTTAAAACCTTTTGATACTTTGACAAACTTTCCCAAATTCAAATTTTAAATAGAATCTTTTTCTTGACTTGAAAATAACTTTGAGATGTTCCAGAAGGCCGCTGGAACATCTCAAAAATTATTTTGTCCTATTTATAAAATAGATAGTAAACTGATTAGGTTTATTTGGTATGTTAAATTGCATGGGGAGTACTGTGAAATAAAGTGATGATAAACTTCTAGGATATACTGTATGGGTAAAGAATGGCTGTAAATTAAACACAAAGTTGGGGCTATGGGAAACCCAAGATAATGGCTTGGTTCTGCAATGCTCCCTGGCAAATCCCATTTTTTAATTCATTTTTTTGGTTTTTACAGTCCTCATCCATTAGAGTGCATTGAAGCTGTATTTCATTCAACCACTACTTATTAAGGGTTACCAATATGTTCTTACTGTTATGTATATTTTCTGGATGGGTCGAAGCATTCCTCTGCTGCAAGTCTCACGCCCTTACAGTGGCAAAGAAATTTTTAGAAAATGTATTTTACACTTCATGAATACCTTCCACAGTCTCTAGTGATTGAGGCACCCACTTTATTGGGCAAAAATCATATGAACCTTGACAAAGGCCTTGCAAACTTCTTGGAATTACCACAGTCTCTATCACCCTCAATCATCAGGCAAACTTGGGAGAACTAATGGAAAAACCAGATTCAAGCGAAACAAGTCTTAATTATATGGGACTGAATGAATTGATGAGGATGATTACAATTTTTATGACTTTTGTTTCAAATATTGGTGGTTCTTTGATTTTTGTTTTTTCTCAGCTATAAGGAAACCTTTACTCTTAAGCTAACTATGACTTAAAACAATTTGATAAATTATACCTTTGCAAGCAGAATTGAAACATTTCTCTTTTTTCCCTACTTGATCCCTCCAGAATTCAGAAACTGTATTTTTATTTTCATGGTCATATAGTTATTTGTGTAAGTTCAATAATAATCTATTTTCCTTGTATAGGACACAATTGGGAACTGATTATATTACCAAGGCTTTGACCAGAAAGTGAAATTAGAGAAACATACATTGACTCACATATGACCAGACAGCTTTAAGGAATTAAGATTGACTTATGAAGTCAATAAAACCCTTGGAAATATTGGCTTGGCACTTTGCTTACAAGGTTCCTACTAGTCTTACCAGGTGAGTAAGGAAGGTGATTTCTTGGTAGATGCAGAAACTTCAAGATGTTATGGTGACTTTAAGAGAGATGCCCTGGCTGGTGTGGCTCAGTGGATTGAGCGCAGGCCTGCGAACCAAAGGGTCGCTGGCTCAATTCCCAGTCAGGGCACATGCCTGGGTTGCAGGCCAGGTCCCCAGCAGGGGGTGAGCGAGATGCAACCACACATTGATGTTTCTCTTTCTCCCTTCCCCTCTCTAAAAATAAATAAATAAAATCTTAAAAAAAAAAAAAGAAGAAGAGAGGAACTCACCCACACCTATACATACTGCAAGCAAAGTCTGATGGCAAGTCCTTGCCTTGGCTTTTCTGGCCTTGAGAGGTCTTTTAAAGTTCAATCTGAAGATTCCTTATGAAAAATTCCAGTAAAGCCATTTAAAAGAGCCTATATAGTTAATTGCTATTCTTGCTGCTCCTATGTAAATAACAGGACAAGTTTATTGAATCTAAATTTTTTTGCAAACAAATTAGTCTAAATTTGGCCGTCTTTGGTAAAAATGGGAGTGATTTTAGAGAGAAAAATTATGTTTCAGTAGAAACTATAATACACACTTCTGGATATTAGATTCTAGTTAATTGTCTTTGAGATTTTGTTTCCCACCTGTAAATTGGACTGAGTCCCAAATTCTTCCAGCTTCCTCAAATATTTGGCTATAGCTCTCCGAACTCACATTTCTATCTAATTTTCTCCTACCCTTCTGACCTGGAATCATTAAGAACTACAATGGCCCCTTTTCCTTTAGCGCTGTAAACTGAAACTAGATGACTTAATGTAAACTTCCAGGGGAATCTCCACAATAGCTAATATATGGACAATCTTTGTGCCTGCTCCAGAAAGATCACCAGAGACAGTCAAACTGAAAACCAAGAAAATCTGATTTGTCATGACCTGCCTTCACTCCATCAAAAGCTGTTTCAACACTGACATCTAGAAATCTTGACTGGCTGTACCCTTGGCTCAGAAACTTTTGTAATTTGCTGCAATCGTTAACCATTGTTTCGCATTTGTTTCCATGGACATGCCTCTTATTAATTACCTGGTTGCTTGGCTAATATAGACCTAAATTTTGAAGCCTACCTGCAAGACTGCCTACTGAAATGAGACATAACCGTTTAACTGAACTGACCGAGTTTCAAGACAGACTGGTTTAATGCAATATGGAACAATCTATCAACTTCGCTTCTGAAATGTTAAACTTATTTGAAGTTTCACATGTGGGAGCAGGCAGAGGGGAGCAATTTGTCACCCAAAAATATATCTCTTTGGCATAATGATTCTTTTTGGCTGGTTCTTGTGGCTAATCTAATAATCAAATTAAAACGAGGCAGATTAGCAGGAGAAAAGCAAAGTTTCATAACATGTATACCTCCTGTATATATGGGAGAGATCCAGAAAAACTGAGTAACTTGCCCAAATGGTGGAAGCCATTACCTTATATACCACCTTCAGCTGAAGTCACAAGACGACCTTGGGAATGGAAAGCCAGTTATGGGAGATTACCAGGAAAAGCAAAGTAAATAAGGCTAAGATTGTTATGCAGATTTAAGTCCAAGTCATTATCATCACTGGTAACAATTTCTAGAGATTTGGATATCCTCTTTCTGAGGCAGTGAGGGAAAGACCCTTACATTTGTAAGATTTCCCTTACAAATGTGTAAATGTCCTTTTACAAAGGGTAACTTCTTCTTGGTTTTTAGAGCTTCTCCCATGTCTGCTGTTTTTAAAAAAATAACCAGCCTAAAATAATATCCCCAGAGAGACACATTTTGATATGCCCTCGCAGTTTCCTGTATGCCCCCCAGCAAAGGGGAACAGGACACTGGCCAATATTAATAATGTGGTTCAAAAATGCTAAGGCCAAAGGAGGGCTCTTTGGTGAGCTAAAAGAGGAAATGGGAGGAAGGACTGACTTCCTGTCGGCAGCATGATGTGCTCCAAGGGCCCATTCTTCAGAGAAAACTATTAATACAACTCATAGGGCAACTCAAGAGTTAAAAAGATTTGAGTCTTGGTTGATATGCTTAAGTGAGGAATGCGTGTGGAATGCTGTTATTCCAGGAACTGGAATGCATGACTCCAGAGGTTACTCAGATAAAGATTTGTTGATCAAAAGATAAAGAAGTAGAATTGATCAACAGATAAAGAACACTAGGAAAATCACTGCTGGACTGCAATTCTTATCCAGTTAACCTTTTGGCCAAACTCCTTTCTTCCCCTTGTAAAACGTCAGCTTGAAATGAGATGTTGAGACAGTTTTTGAGGGTACCTAACCCCCCAACTTCTCAGATCACTGGCCATCTGAATAAAGTGCCCATAAAGACCCAATCTTGTCTCTACATACTGGTTCTGGTAGTGACAGCAGGAACACCGGCTTTTCCAGTTTCGAAGCAAGATTAGTGAAGATTGTTAGTGATGATTTTTTTTTAAACCAACCATTTATAGTATCTGGGAATAATTCTAAGAGCATATACCTGTGGATGAAAATGGGATGCTGTCATAAATTCCTTACTGGATGGGATCTAAATAAGTCAGGCCCCAGGCCTGTAACTTATTTAGTGGAAGGTTTTTAAGCAAGCCCTGTCCATTGTTCCTGTGCATCTAAGTTAATACAACTTTGAGATGCCTGCCCCTCAAAGGCATAATCACCCTCAAGAGAGCATATAATCTTACC